TAATAGAAATACAAATGTAAATTAAATAAAGTACGTTAGGCAAGGCCTAGCTAGTTAAAAAAAAAAAAAAAAAAAAATATGAAAATTCAAATATAAAATATGTTAAATTATGATTAAATTATTTATCAAATATTTGTATTTATATTGCCAAATATTATAATATTATAGTCGAACTATTAACAAATGTTTAACAAATATTTATATTTGATTTCATATCAAGTGGCATCAAAAAACATAAATTTGGCTTAAATTTAATTATAAAAAATTTAAAAATTCAGCAATAATTCAACATGCCAAATGATCAAATTTCGACTAGTGTTTAAATATAATATTTGTAAAAATACTGATAAATATATAAATAAAAAATAAATTTATATATTTTTTGTTTTTGTAAGTATTAAACTATATTTTATTTATTTTTTTTATAATTAATATAATTAATCAATTTATAATTTTAATTAATTATTTTTTAGAAAGTTAATATAATTAAAAAACAAATAAACAAACAAAAACTACTATTTGTTTTGTTAAATTGAAAACCAATATTATTAAAAAAAATATATGAATTTTATTATTATAAAGATATAAAAATTTTTGAAAATATGTTTTTTGAATTAATAAAAGAATCAATAAAAAGAGTTTTAAATATTAATGTTTTTCTATTTTTATTTTATTTTAATAATTTTAAAGATTTTATATATTATATATTATATATTTTTAAAAAATCTATTTTATTTGTTAATTATTTTATTGAATTGAAAAAATAATAAAACATGAAAAACCTTTTAATTTATTTTATACAGGTCATTAAGTATTTTGTTATATTAAAGGTTCAACATATTATATGCTTGATGTGTATACAATCGAGCACAATTTTAATAGTATCTTTCAAAAATGGACAATTTTTTACAGTTTTTAATTACTCTATATTTGTTATTTGCAGAAAAATAGTTGAAATTAAAAAGCACAATAGAGAGAGCTCTTGTGATTGTTATTTTTTTCAAAAAACTTGTATGGAAATAATGTGTTGCACATACCTATGCACATACTTGTAGGCGGTAAATAAAAAAATTCCAATTCCAAGTCCGAATATAACTCCTTAAGGCATTTCATAAAACCAAAAAAGTGATTATTTGAAACCTCTGTTAGAAATTGTGTCTTTGACCATGTAGTGGCTTGAAAAAATTCCTTGTCCGTTATTTTTCCCCTAAGCTTCAAAGGGAATTCTTTGTCATCGGCAATTTGTATACAATCCCGTTTATGCTGCCGCGTTTCAATCAAACACATTTATATTATCGATAGCGCAAATCGAGAAATATTAAACGCACGAAATGAGATCCGCTATTGTTACACAGAAGCACTCGTCAAAAAGTCATACATGAGTCATCATTACATTGAAAGATTGCCCGATATACGTATTCATTTTGCGACGGGGCGGGGAAGATGCAACATACGTAACATCGGGCAGTTCCCTAATAGTAAAGGAACCACCAATAATCGTGAATTTATTATTGTTATTGATAATTAAAACATGTGCCAAGGAGTAAGCATTCATAATTCAGTTATTATGACAGTATGTGATGTGGTTCAAATTGTTATTTCGCGGTCGAGATAAAGTTCTCCGTGAACCGTTATGGTTGGGATGAAATGGCAGCGTAGGTTTGGACACGCACCTATTTCATTGCTTTCAATGGATTCTTTCAAATGTCTAGAACTTTCACCAACAAACTTTTAGATGCATCATTCAATGATAAACCCTCACCATTAAATAATAATTGTTATTGATACTGAATATGAGGGAAAGTGGGATCATTTGTATTTATAGGAGTTTGAATAATAGCAGGAGAATCTTGAACAATCAATGATTGAGATAAAGGAGTTGGTGTAGTAGATTGAAATCCTGGAACCGTAGAAAGCCTTCTAAAGGGATTACTATCTACGGATATGTTTGAGTATGAATCGGGTGGTTGATAGAGTTGTAGTTGTTGCTGGGGTTGGACAACGGAATTCATTGAAGCAAATGGATTTGTTGGTGGAGATGGGGATGATTGGAATGGATTATATCGTTCAACCGTTGTGACTGCTGGTGCAACACCTGGTGTGCCCTGAGAAAAAATTGACGAACGAAAAGGGTTGGTATCTTGCACGGGTAAAGCTTGTGATGAAAAAGTAAATTGATTTATCGGGGGCACCAAAGGAATCTCATTTGTTTGATTCCGAACGGTTAGAAACGGGTTAGAGATGTTTTGATCTATCGGGCCTTGAGTAACATATGGATTATGATATTGGTTGCCGAATATCGCTATTTGTTCCTGTTCGATGCTTGCGAAGAAATCAAAATTCATTTCCTTTTGTATATTTGCTTCAACGGTGGGGGTAGATTTCGTCGCACCTGCTCGAGTCAATCAAATACAAAGTAAATAAAAAAAAAATGACATCAAAAAAAAAGAAAAGGTTCAATTCCTATTTACTTTGATTTTGAGGTGCACTTTCGGAAGAATCGGAAGAATTCTCCACCCTTGAAGGTTTATTCTTCCAATCCTCCTTCAAGCGACGGTATTGTTCTCTGTTGGTCTCAAAGTCTGGATCGCGATAATATTCCTCAAGAGTTTCCGTGAGCGAGACGTTTGCCTAAAAGCGTTAAATCATTATTAATCTAAAGAGTCCATAAGTGAGCAAATGAATTGATCCCCATGTATACTTGCATGTTTTAAATTGGGTATTTTCATTCCATACAAATCTCTGGCTACCTCAAAAAACTCAACAACTTTTCCCGTCTGCTTAACAAATGTTTTGTAAATATTTAAAGCAGTATTTGCATCTATCTTTGACATTTCCATAAAATGTTCTAGACATAAAGGCAAACACGTTGTAAGTCGATGAGATCTTATTATGAGCAAAGCATGATGATTTATAACCACCTAGAACATTGATCACACCCTCGTTAAGTGCTTGAAAAAGATCTAGCAAATCGTTCACAAGGAGTTTAAACGCACATATCGTTACTTCGTTGGATGACTCACTAAACAAACACTACGTCAAATGTAATTTAAAATTGACGTTTCAAATTTATCATGAACAGCACTTGGAATAGATAATAATTGTTTAAACATAAACCTTGCAATTCAATAAGGCGCCCAGTTGTTTTTGCACTAATTTAACTTCACGAAGAAGACCTTTGGCAACAGTGAGATTTCGCAAGCGACTAATACCAGATCTAGGCATGGCATAATCTATCTTCAAATCTCGGTAAATAGACACGCTTTCTTCAAGGTATGTAGCATACGAGTGAATGTTTTTAGCTTGTTCCAATGCTGGAGAACGACAAACGTTTAGATTAGAATTATGTCGCAAGATAGAAACCTGATGTATTTACAAACCGTGGAATCCGGTTCTAAGGCCTGGAATTTCTAGAATGGTCGGTTCCCTCGCCAAAGCTTTTAAGAAACGAGTGGACGCGCCTTCTTTCATCAAGAGATGTATCACGATGAGGCTTTTGAAAACCACCTTTTAAAACGATAAGTCTTGTAAGGTCAAGTGGTGATCGAAGAGAATTTTGTGTGGTAGCTCAACTTACCGTCCAACTTTGTTCCCGTAATCTTTGATTGAGACATCTCAGGATCGTTTCAAGATCTTTTTCGTTCGCTGTTGCTGGAATAAGGACTAAAAGAAGGAAGAAGGAAAAAAACCTCATTTGAAGATAGACACTCTCCTGCGACTTTAGTACTTTGGATCGAAATGATGGATAAAATACCCTTCACATATTTTTGTTTTGGAGGAGCACGTTTAGGTTTTGTGGCTCCGCGAATCGCTTTTTCCATTTTCTTCGGTTAGATCTCGGTTGTCAAAAAATCTAGAAATCATCGTTCGACGATACGGTTTCTTTTTTCTAGTTTCCGTGTCACATGATGGTGACGTTTTTTTTGATTGTTGTGCATGCAAATTCGTTTTTCCCCCAAAAAAACGTTTGAAATAAAGAAATTTGTCACGAGGTGAAACCAATATCGTTGTAAACATCACATACGCCTATAGTCCATTGGTAACTAAGTACTGTACGTAAAAAAAAATCTATTTTTCCTTTGTAGACCACATGTCTAACACAATGAACTCATGGTGGTAATTTATACTTTCATAATCTATATCATA